TCGTGAGGACCAGCAGCAATCTTCTCGACAAGTCGCAAATGGCGTCCTGAAAGGATCTCGATCACAAGGATCATAGAAGTCAAGCGGACCTGCACCACACCTTACCACCCGCAATTCAATGGGATAGTCGAGCGTCTCCACCGCACGCTCAAGGCGAATCTGATGTGCAACCCTCACATGCCCTGGCCGGACCTGCTGCCTTCAGCCCTCCTCGGCCCTCGCACGGCCTTCAAGGAGGATCTTCAAGCACCTCCGGCGGAGATGTACGGCGTGGCCCTACGCATCCCCGGAGAATTCTTTGTTACAGACAGCGTGCCAGCGGAACCGCAGGAGTTCCTGAGTAAGTTCCAGAACCTCATCCGCGTGGTGAGACCAGTCCCAGCGGCCCACCACTCTATACGACACCCATTCCAGCTGAACGGTCTGCAGTCGTGTACACACGTTTTCAAGAGGGTGGACACCATACGCAAGCCGCTAGAACCACCATACACGGGCCCACACGAAGTGGTCAGAAGGTTAAACGAGAAAACCTACGTCATCCGCGTCAACGGCCAGGACAAGACCGTTTCTACTCATGGTCTTAAGCCAGCCTTCCTGGAACTAGCCGACAACCGGCCATCCCAGCCGGCCGCATCAAACAGCAACCAGCCGCCCCAGCTGGCGGCATCAAATAGCCACCAGACGCCCCAACCGGCCACAGCAGACAACACCACTCCTCGACCTTCCACGTGCATGAAGAATGTATCGTTCCCTTCGTCGGAGACGAATGTCTCTGGGGGGAGACTGGATGTGGCGGTCGAGCCTCGCCTGCCGTCACCGGCGGCGCCACCGCATAGGGCGGCCTCACGTATGAGGAAGCAAGTTCTGCAATCGCGCCCGGTCTTCTGACCGGCTCCAGCGCCACCTGGTTTTTCCGGCGCGTTGCGCGCACCGCCCGAACCACGAGAGTGTCACGCGACCCCATCGGCCAACCACGTGTTCTGTGGCGCGATCGTGTTTTGTTTCGAAGCGTCCCGGCGGTCGTGCCAGGACCCCGGCTCGCCCTCTTCCTTCTCGGACTCTGGACAACACGGACGTGTTCGTGAGTGTTCCTCGGTGTTCTCCCTTGTGCGTTCCGCTTCCGACACTACGAACCAGCGCGTATCAGTGCCTGTGTTCCACCGCTCGCGATTCCGCAACAGCTTAGTGCCCGCGTATGCGAGTGACATCCCTGTGCCACGCGTCGTCCTCGCGACGCCTCTCGTCGCCGATCGCTCTCGCGACACCGCTCGCCGCCGATCGCCCTCGCGACGCCTCTCGCCGCCGCTCGCTCTCGCGACCGTCGCCCTCCGACCTCCGTCGCCCTCGCGACGCCTTGAGCGGCCTGCGTCTCGTATCTCTCCCCGCGTGAGAGAAGGAGCCGGCTCCGCGTCCTAACGAGCCGAGCTCTCACTGTAAATAGCGTTTCGATTTCTGCGTCCCGCGCTGCGGCCATTTTGTTCTCTCGCGACTACAGCGTTTAGCGCATAGACTTATACAATAGACTGCGCATCCCATATAACCCGGTGAGGCCTACATCTCGGAAGTGGGGGTCTGGGGAAACCATCTCACTCTAACATCGTGCTGTCTTTCTCTCTTTGGAGGGAGTACAAAGTGAGAGTGGGGATAGTCCTTCTACGCCACTAAACGCGAGAGAGAGAGGGAGCTCTCCCACCCACGCCTTAACTGAAGCCCCTCCAACCTGAGTACAACTTAACTATAATCTCTGTCTAATTACTATCTGAGCCACGTTAGCCGCGTGGACTAAAGATTTTGCTCCGCGCGGAATTCGAGTGTTCGATTCTCCGTCGCGGAATTTTTTTGTTTTTTTTTGTTTTTATGCAACTCTTTTGTGCAAATATTACTTATTCATGTATCATTGTGTAAAAATTTATTCACAGTGCTTGTATTTAATTTCTTCCAGTATCATACTTATAAATGAAACGATTTGGTTCCTTTTTTAAGCAATAAAAGAAAATGATAATGCAAAAATGATAGTACAAAAGGTGTATAATAGAAATATGATAGTTTTTTAATGTAAAAGCAACATAATAAATGTTATAAGCATACAAGTAACAAATTTTTTATAAGTGTCGAAATAAATATTACTTATTGATTTTTAAAAACTACTAATCTGTTATGATACGTTCTTATACGTTGTATATTATCTTGTAAAGAGCGAGCTTCATGGTGCAATCTTAAAGTAAAATATTTTTTGCTATGAGATCTATTAATTTTGTTTTGTGACTTGACATAATATCTTGTTCAACAAAAGAATTTAAACTTTCAAACAATTTCATTGGCAATAAAATGATTCTAGCGCGCAACATTAATAAATCGTATATAATATTTTCGACAGAAAATAAATCCTCAGTTCTTATAATTCTTTCACATAATTTACAAATAGTAACAACATCAGGTGAGGGAAATATTAAGCCACCTTTTTGATCTTCTGTTGAGGATTCGCTGATAAACCTTGGTTTGTTCTTAATTTTGATTAAGCTACATGTAGTTTCTTTGGATTCTAAGCAACTAATACACATTGGACAATTTAATGTCTTTTTCAAGCTTCTAACGATATATCCAGATATGTATTGAACAACGTCTTCTTTATAAGAAGACCAGAACAAATAGCTATTGTTGCTGTAGTCGTGATCAAAGGTGATTAAAGAAGCTGTTGATGTTTCGTTACCAGAGCATTTTTTATCAGTGTTTAAAATTGTAGTATCATCTTGTGGACTACAATTTCCTTGCGGCACAATTATGGAATTTACATGGCTTACTAATTTTTTATAAGCACAAATAAGTTGGTAACAAGACGGATTGTTATTGAATCTACCCATTGCTCTCAGCAGAAAAAAAAGTTTCTAGATGATCCTGAGATAACTTGTAAGTTAAAAAATACGATTGTAATTTATAACAAAATAGATACCTGGCAAGAGCAAGAGAATTTCTCAAGCCTACGATGAATCCCCAAAAACCCGTCTTTCGTGTACTTAAAAGGATTTTTTTTTTTCGTCCCATTTTCGTTATATTGCAAATTTTATATATAATCTACTAAAATATCAATTTTGTTTCTGATAGCATCAACGTTTTCAGGACAAATTGCATTTCGAAATTCGTTTTTTCCGTACTTAGATTTAGAGTTGAGAATGTCAAAAGCATCATTAATATTTTTACAAAATAATGCAGTTGCACTTGCACCTTGAAAATCGGAAGAATTACTTTCCATGTAAGTCAGAGCACCCGACACTCGTGTACTAAAGGTCTGGGCAGCTAATTTAACTTTCATTTTTTCCCTATAAAAATCAATATGCCTACGACGGATTTTCGTACCCAAATGCATGCCTTCTTGCTCTTGCACTTCCACTAATTTTTGGATAAATTGCCATTGAACTACACAACCACTCTTATCGTATAAATTGAACTTAGCTGTGGCATTCCTTATTAGTTCAAGCATATGGCACGCATCTGGTATTACAAAAATCGGCTCACTATGCACAGGATGTTTGAAATAACAATCGGCATCGGCGTCTTTCACAGTGGCTCCAAGAGCTGCTACCATCGATAAATTTGTTGACGCCCCGTCAAATGTTACAGACCATACGTCAGAAATGCCGTATTCGTGAAGAGTTATCAATATTTCTTTCAAAATATTCGTTCTGCCATCATCTGACAAGCCTTTCAAAAAATAGTATGCGATTGGCGTTTTAAAGTGCCCGTTAAAACAAACGACCATAAAAACGAGAGCGTACGAAGCTTCCTCGGATTTGCTTTTGCTTTCCAATCCAATATCCGTAAAGCCGTACCAACTGTTATTCCGCAACTCTATTAGCTTTTTGATCGACATTTCATCGATTTGTAAGCCAAATTGCAATTCTTTTTTGCTACTGTAGCGTTCTTTTTCGATCATTTGACTAATGCTGCTTAGTACGGATTTGCTGATTCCAGATGAAAGATCGACTTTTGCAAACCATCTTCTTATTGTTTGTGGGTGTGGTAGAGATTTTAACTTTTGGAGGGCCGGGATTTGAGAGGGCATATCCGCCTTAGTAAAGTGGTAAAAAAAGTATCTTATATCATGGATTGACCATATACTAAGTATCGATCATGGGTAACGCCAATATATTGGCTTTCCGGTCCGCAAGGGATCAGCCCGTATATAAAATTTCAAATTCGAAAAAAATACTTCTTTCACATCAATTTGTAAGTATAAATATTCGTTTCCGATGTATTTTTCGACGTAGAATCCAAATCTGATGTCAAAAATACAATAAACCTGAAAACAACCCCTATCAAATTACAAAAACTACCCCTTTTATCACGCAATTTTAATTTTTTTTATTTGAAAGTGCAGATATACTTATGTTTCCGATGTATTTTTCGATGTAGAATCAAAATCCAATGTCAAAAACACAATAAAAGAATTTTTACACAATACACCTGGATATAACCCCTATAATATTACAAAAACTACTCCTTTCATCACGTATGATTTCGAAACACCCTCTTCTTTTGAACACGGGCTTGGGACCGGCTGTGGCGGAATTATGTTTCTTTTTTTTATTTTTTTATTTTTGATTGTTTTTGTTTTTTATTTTTATTTTTTTTTGTTTTTTTGTTTATTTTCTGATTTTTTAAAAATTCTTTTATTGTTTTTTTTTAATTTTGTAAATTACGACAATGATCGTTTGGTGTGATAAATTTCAAAGCAAGGTTCAATGTATAAAGTTTTACAACATACTTTACACTCATATGATGATCGACTTCTCTTTTTGTGTATACTGCATAGAACATATTGACGTGATACCGTTTTACTATCATCTGAAGCTTGAATTTTTCTGGGGAAATGTCGTCCATTTAGTCTAAGATCAGACGAAATAAATGATGAAACTTCTTGAGAATTTACTTTCAAAATATCTCTTACGACGCTCAATCGAAAATCAGGAAACGAAATCGCATTTTTAGCGAGCATCTTGAATAAACTGTGGGCATTTATCAATATCAGATCAATCAAATGAAAAAACAATTTTCTATACCATTTCATACATTTTCTAATACAATAGATTCTATCAAAGATAATTGTCTGTCGATATCATCGATTTTGCCCATATTTTTGTTATAATCCACGATACAAACGGGTTTTATAATATCTTCATTGGTTTTGTAGTTTTTCCTACCAGTTTTACAAAACTGGTGTTCGTGAATACTTGTCAATACATAAACTTCCTTTTTATCCATCCATTTGATTACCATCCAAGAATCGGTGTGGGCAACTTCTGTTTCACCACGATTTAGCTTTGAAGTAAGAGTTGGCATTCCTTTACGATTTTTTTTTACAGTTCCACAAAGACCAGTATTTCCGTCATGTAAGTAGTCTGACAGTTGTGGAGATGTATACCAATTATCAATGTATAACATACGTCCTTTGTTACAATAAGGTTGCATGAAATGTGCAACAATGTCACCAGAAACGCCTAAATCAAATTTCTCATAATCAGTGTCTGAGCCAGTATATACTATAAAATCTAAGAGAAATCCTGTTTCGCAGTCCGCTAATTCAAATATCTTGATACCAAATCGATGTCTCTTCAATGGTAAGAATTGTTTGAATTTTAGCTTCCCTTTCCATAAGACTAAACTTTCGTCAATGCAAAGCTTTTCATCAGCAATAATAGTATTACCAAACTTTTCTTTCAAATGATCTATCACTGGTTTGATTTTTTTCAAAAGATGATTGGAAACTTTTTCATTATTAGAAAAGTAAAGGCATCGTAAAATTTGAAGATATCTATTTCGAGATAGATTTTCGCCGTATATTGGAGTGTATAGCAATGGATCTCGGTTCCAATAACACAGCTCCACAAAAA